TGTTCTCTACTCTTCTACTAATCTCATCTCTCCTCTGCCTTTCGCTTCTTCTCTTTTTCATTAATATTGAAAAATTGACATGGTCTATATATATCGTTTTGACAATTTGCATATTATTTTGTTTTAAACAAGTGCATGATTGTTATTGTTATTCATGTCAATTTAGTTGTATGATTAAGATCATGGAATTTTCTCAATAAACCTATCAGTCAATCCTTCAGTTGTAAACAAGTCATTCACCAGAAATGAAAAGGTTAATTTGTCAAAGTAAAAGGCACCTTGCAAATTTGATGAGGGGGAGATATAAAAAGGGAAGGGAAACTTATTGAAAAAGAACAAAGGCACAACAAAAATGAACACTTTTCTTCCGTAAAATGAAGCGCTTCGTGTGAACTTGAAGGAAAAAAAGGGGGCATTGTGCCCCCCTCCCCGTGAGCGCCGACTCGGATGCAGATAAAGAACGCCCCAAATATAGAGAAAGAGACAACCGGGGAGCAACATGTGGGGGGGGGGCAGTATTAAAAAGCATACAACATTAAACACAGAAATAATCATTGGTACAATTAAGAAATGGGTTAAGGGTGGTAGCACAACTGAATATAACAATTTAATGGAAAAAAAATAAATAGTAAAATGAACCAAAACACAGCAAAATAAGGATCAAGTGAATGACCTCATGTTATAACGATAGTAGCACCCCCCCCCCCCAAACAAAAAATAAATAAATAAATAAATAAAAAAAGAGCCAGCAATGAAGTGATTAAAGAAAGAAACTTCTCAATTTCATGCAAGGAACACAAATAATAAATCATACTAAAAATCGTACCATCGAAACAACACCTATAAAAGCATGAATAACATCTTCCCATCACAATTTAGTGATTTTATCAATTTTAAATGCAACTCGGAAACCCATACGTATAATACGAGAAGCGCTGCCAACATTCATCTCCCTAAACATAGAACCCGAAGATTTCAATTTGACATTCGATACTCTGGGCCAAAATTTTGGAACACCTTACCATCTATTCTACAGAAATCGCTCTCCTTACAGACTTTTTCCCGTAAGGCAAAAATGTATTTAATTGCTCGATATTGATACCCTCTCTTGTATTTATGTGTGAAATGATCTTTTGTGGAATTTAATGATATGTTTGTATGACCGATTATTTATTTATTTTGATAACTTGTTGCTAGTACCATCTGTATATTCCCAGGACAATGCTGTCGGATAAAGCTGTTGTCTGTTTGATGATTTTGCTTGTTTTTAATGATATGTACCCGCTGTCTATTTTACAATTGTATTTCGTTATCTTTATGATGTAATCGCAGACACATGTACAGCCCAATTGATGTAACTTTCTCTTTATAAGTGAACATGCCTTCCTATACTTAATTCTCTCCTCTCTTCCTTTCACTATTTGTTTCTTTCCTATCAACGTTCTGTTATATATACAATGTAATTTTCATAATAATATCTATAATGTTCTTTCGGTAACTGTGCTAATTTATTATGGGCGTTCCCAACTCAAGCTATGCTTTCCGGGTTTTCGCCTCCTTCCGTATGTGAATTATTTACTGTATACTCTATGTTGAAATAATGGTTACATCATGTATTTATACATTGTGTTTTATATTGTGCTGTTGAGAAGGAAATAAATGTTAATAAATACAAATACAAATACACCGAAAACAAGGATAATATTTGATGAAATATTTGATTGAATGTTGAAGTGCAAATCCAGACAGAGGAAACAAAGTGAATTACGTGTAAAAACGTAATAGGAATACATGGTAAAGAAGAAATATAAATTATGTCATTTAGCAAAGTTTCGATATTCTGTTGAGCATTTGATGTGTAGGAAATGGGATAACAATCATCAACAACAATTAAGACAGAGACCCGGGACAGAGACTTAAGATTAATGATACGAAAATTCAAAATATAAAACAGTTTGAAAACTTACGAAGCAAAAGGGGATTATTTTACAAGAAAAGAGAAATAACACTAAGAAAACGTCAACAAAGAAAATGGGCCAAAAATGGGCCAAAAATTTAGAAATATACAAAACAATATTAGCATCATAGCGGTTGATATACAGATGAAAATAAGAAATAGTGAAAGTGTAGTGCACACACCGTGGAGCGATACTTACATAAAAAAGCCACACAGAGAGCTCGCCGCTTGATGATGCTTGAAGACCTTCGAGATGAGATTCCAGTCTGCCGCCCTCTCTTGTTCCACAGTAGTTTAACCTATGTTTAGAAAACAGAGTGATGGAGCGTTGGATGTTAGACTAACGAAAAAGAAGCAGAGAGAGAGCGATACAGGAGGGAGGGTTCATTTATATATAAAGAGAGAGAAATTAAGAAAGAGAAACAGACAGAGAATGCGTAAAATATCATACTCTTAGTATTTTCATGCTCGGATTTATATACCAGATTTGTTTTCTCCATGAATGATTTGATTTTGTAGGCCTCATTTATTTTGATTAGCGATAAAAGTTACCAATTCCGGGATGATAAGGGGGGGGGTTTTGATTTTGATTTTAGGCCGTTTCATCCACCCCCCCCCCCCCAAGAAAAAAGTATTAATAATTTTAACTTAGGAAGTGATCCATACACATTTTAAGATCAATTTGTATTGTTTTTTTAAATCCCAGAGACTGTTTATTTCGGTAGTAACAAAAACAAACGAGTATTTCACCTTTCCTGCTTTAATTTTCGATTTCAAAGGAAATATGTTATATTGTATAAGCTGGTCAAATATCTAAATTTTGTTCGTGTTTATATTCTGGTGTATCAATTTAAAAACAAAAACATGAAAAAAAATCCATGATACGATATGTGATATGTGTTTAAACTTTGTTCAATTTCCTCTCAGTGTATTTGTACAGGGTTTCCTAGGAAATAGTTTTAATACTGAGAGAGTAAACCTCTTTGAATAAAACGAATTAAAACAAAAGCCATCCCATTATTAATCCGATATGTTCAAGCATTGATTTGATTGAAAGGCGTAAATGAAAGCTAACAATTTTCATATGTATCGGAGAATCCAGAGTTTTGTACAAAATTGAAGGCAAATTTTAGGCCATTAATTATCTATTTGTTTATAAATGTGTGCCCTTATTCCATTCACAGACTCTCTCTCTCTCTCTCTCCCTCTCATTAACACACAACCACACTGCTATGATGTTTGATGTCTGTCCCTTTCAAAGTGATTGTGTTGTTCTTTCACATCCCCTAACACAACAAAACTGTTATAATAATAATAATAATAATAATAAATAAATAAAGTAAAAAATACAAATAATAACCACTGGCTTCTAACAAAATTATTGCTAGGTTATCTGATCACTCAAACAAACACACCATCATTGAATCATATATCATTGCCCTTTATCATCATTTCATAATTACTAGTTATGCGTTAGCGCACAATCTCATCCATTCATTTTTTGCATAACCCCTTTTTTCGTATTACATGACAAATGATACATTACTCAAATACAAAATAACATTTACATACATTTTTCAAGCTTTAAAGTCTTATAGCTATTCTTATGCTTTAATCCATGAAAATCTACATTTTATAAATGATGAGCAATAGCAATTAATTTCAAGGGATACAATAAGAACATTTCCAATGACACAAATGAAAGTACCGCTCTTTAAGTGACAACCGGTTGTTAAAATTATTGCAGCTAATATCTGCCACTGTCTAGTCGAGGTACATTAGTGGAGATTAAAAGAGTAAGATTTGTCGTAATGATTGCTATAACTAATATGGTTGTTAATATAAGGGTAATACACATTGCCATGTAAGGTCATGCAGTTGATGAAAATGGGTTTTTCTTGATACAACAGTTTGTCTATACAAAGTTAATTATCATTTTTTTTCTATCAGCTTTGAGAATTTTTTAAGGACAACATGAATCCGAGTTGATATATTATTTCCTGCCGGAAAAATCTGTTTTCACTGCAATTACAATGTTCGGTTATTTCTTTTGTATTTGTTCTTGTGCAATTGCTAAGAATATCCAATTCAGGTATCAACAGGTAAATATTGACACAAATTCTTGCCAACAGAAACTCTACTAAGAGTTCCAAAAAGGCCTTCAAATTGGCCCACTGCTGCTCAGATGAATTGCTACTTTAACATTTCCAATTTGATATTTTAAGATTTACCATGAACGGATTTATCTAGGTAATGTAAGTTTAGAAACAACAGCCTCCATGATAGAATCATAGCTTTTTAGATCAGCAACAACACTTAGCGAGATATTTCTCGAAAGTGCAGGCTTAAATTGCAGAGCTATTAAACTTAAAGATAAAGTTGAGTACTGGTAAAAAAAAAAAATTATTTCTCACAGAATCAAACGAAACTTACACTGAATGTTCAAGATTACAAATAAATGACATGTGCCAAACAATTTTGGAAGAAAATGTATACTGGCTGAGTAATGAGCATAGAAAGACAAGGAATCAAGGTAGTACCAACCCCGACACCATGCGTGTTGTCCCATACATAGCTTTCTGTGTATGTGCTTGTTACTTTACCAAGACTCGGTCAAATTTATTATGATTTTGATGACTCCAGAACCTTGCAGTGCACACCAATACTTACATGCTACATGATCAACTGTTTCTGATCCTTTCCACACCTTTTCTTTCACAATGCGATCGCATTACCAGTACTAAAGTTTATCTTTAATATGGCTTATTTCTTTAGTTTTATCTTTCAACTGTAATTAGTTGTTTTCTTCTTTCTTTTCCAAGATTCTGCGATTCTATTTAAAAGAATAGAATTGTTGGAAGTATCATTAATTTGTTTACTTCCTTTAAAACATTACTTGATGAAATATTGTCAAACCAATAATCTCATACTCGATGGCAAATTGTAGTACACAGACTGGAGCACTTTTAATATCTTCAGATGAATTCATTTGAAAATCTGTTTCACTGGAAGTCGTAATTAATGAGAAAGCGACTATTCCACGATCTGTTTATAGCATTGTGGTCCCTCTTGCTTAGAGCTGGAAAAGGGAGCTTGTATCTGTATGCTGGCTGATGTTCCATATGAAGCATAATGTTGCAGGGGATTCAAGCTCTGCAGTCTAGAATTTGAAATTGAAAGTTATGTAATACAAATATTAATAAATACTAGTGTCATGTTTCAATCTATAGACTATACAAATTTTGTATTTCTAGTCATGTCAATTTCTTTTATTGGAAAATACATCAAGAAGAAGGATAATGAACATGTTTTGTTAAATATTGATACGAAAGCAGTTTTAGTTAGAAAAGATAATAAATAATTTATTTAAGGCTTTGGAAACAAAAAAGAATCTTCTCATAATCATTTTGTGTATGTTTTATACAATAGTTTGGGTAAAATCGTAATTAGACCTCTAACAAGGACTATGATAACTGTACTTGCTTTAAAAAAAAAAAATTCTTATTGATTGCTGTAGGGGCAATGATGACAGGCACAAAACATACTGATAAGATCAGTTATTTTAACTGATACCGCTTACCTTTTCAACTTGAAGAGATGGAAAACACCTTAGGTATGAAAGTCCAGATGCCATGAGTTTGCAGTTCATGTAGATACCACAGATCTTTACTTTGCAACCTAAGATTTAAAACAGAGATATACATATACCATAAAGAGAGCAAATATATTTCACAGAAAAAAAGTTGTCACTTTAATGTGTTCAACTGAACAAAAGTACATTTTCATCACTGATCAATTGTCATTTAAATGTATTTGGGTCAAACCACTATGTCACGTAACTAACCACATTTAAAGTTTTTGAAAATGTGATATTTGGTACGTGGAACTTTTTTTAAAATAATACACATTTTGGATTCATCTTGATTTTCATTTTGATCCCAAACATTTCTTTAAAATATTGAACTTGAATGTGTTAATCTTAAACTTTAGCTTTCATTTGTAATCGGACTCTACAGCAGTCTAATCTTAATCTTAGATAATCTGATCTTGAACAAAACCCCATTGTACAGAGAATTGATACAAAAATACCCTCTGGTGAATAGAAGAGAAAGAAATACCTAAACTGGTATATAACAAACAGGTTGAAACTTACATCATGCATAGAGTTTGTTCAACCACATCTTTATACTTTAATTGCTGCCCTATGCTATACACTATTGATCAAAATCTGGCTGATCTAGTAATTTATCTATGTTTCTTTTTACCTGTCATGGTTGGCTTCTTCTTAAATTAAGAACACATAATTTTCAGTTTGTTATTGTAAAATCCAATATCCGGTATCTTAACCCTTTATCATAAATGAATATCAAGACTATAAACTCAACAACAAGTAAGTAATTCATATCTATGCAGGTCTAGAAGAAGAAGAAAAAAAAACCTCACCGTTTTAATGTCGGTGTTCAAACTTTGCTAAGAAAATCACATCAAAAGGCCACTTAGCACATTAGAATCTGCAGTACCTTGAACTGGATTACATTATGCAGATCCTAACCCTTTCCTCGGGCCAAGGTAGGATGAGAAGTTAGTCCAAGACGTTGAAGACAAGGTGAGAGAGAAGTTTTAGACTAGAGTTCTATTTCTTGGATATGACTCAAATGTCCAGGTCCACTCCATCTCTGACTCTGAAAGAAAAACAAAACAGGAGAGCTTGATACATGAGTCCACTAATACTAGACCTACCTAACATTCTACATCTAGTCTAAAATCTAACTTTTTACTGTTAGACGTAGACTAGATCTAACTCCTGTTAATTTAGATGTCACAAAAATACAAGTAGTCAACTACATCTATGACTCAGGGACTAACTCTAACTCCTAACTTATCTAGGTTAGTCCTACACAAAGGGTGCAGTGTGAAGACTAGGTCTACATCTATCCTATATCTGGTAGCATGTAGACTAAATGATACATCAAGATCTTAATCAAGATCTAACCTGGTCTTCGGTCTGACACCGTAGAGTCGTATTTTCTAGCATAAAATGTTGAAGTTAAAGCAATGATCTCGTTGATTGTTATTATTAACACAAAACAATGGCGACAGCACTGCCTACCGGCAACAAAACAAAGTAGTCTAGCCTGGATCTAGGCCTAGATTTGGAATCTAAGCCTAGACTAAATCTAAATTTTAAGCACTAGACTTATCGACGAAACCATACAACACGATGATTCCTAAAGCCGTGGTAGACCTATTTTGTTATCAAATGAAAGAATAACTATATTTCTTACATGTTCTAACCAAATACGTAGGCTACAGTTAAACATGCATGAATGTAGGCTATATGAATGGGACGGAAATGCATGAACTGGTGCAATTCGAAGAGTTAACTCAAGTTGAGCTCAGTTGGGGAATGCTTTTAGTTGATATTTATTTCAAGTATCGTTCGGTTACAAATGAGAGTAATACTTTCCTTCTACCAAAATAACAATTTTTGTATCAACAGAACAGAATTTTACTTACTTTTCGAGAACCTCTCTTGCAGTAGTTTATCGACGCAATGTTGTGGTTTATTGACCCAACACCGACTAGCCTTGATTACAGAGCCCTCTTAAATTTAACCTAATATTTATCAAAATCAATTATAGTTTAAATTTGATTCGATGAAACCGCTCACGAGCATCAGTCTTAAGCCAAAAGAAATTCAGCCTGATTTTTAACAATTGATTTTTAAAATCAAAATTAATTTTAGTTGATGAAACATCCTCCAGGGGGAGAAAAGGGGAAATTAGTCATTTCCCCTAGCTTGGCATTGCTTAAGCTTCGAGAATTCACAAATTATGAGTCGAAGAGTAAGAGCTGACGATGGCCAGGGGAGGGGGGGGGGCATACCCGCCACCTCATGAAACGTGATGTTCTTTGGACAATGTATCCGAAAAAACGATTTATTAAAAAGGACAGTTTGCCTTTAACGGTTCATTGCAGCTAGAGCGCAACACTTTTGAATTCGCTGCCGGTATTCGGTGATTCGCCATTCTGCCTAAAAATAAAACACGTAGGGCCTACTTGCAACCCAAAATATTGATACTGATGATATTTAATAAGATAGTGACAATAATAACATGATGATGATATTAACAGTAGTAAACGCAATAATAAATGATGATAATGGTGATATTAGTGGCAAAATACAAGTAATAATAGACCTAGATCTAATAATTATAATAATAATGACAATTTATGATAATGATAATTTTTTTTTATCAGGATATGATTTTTTTTAAAGTCAAAATGGACATACATTATTTTACCTTCCGACGGTTTATAATAATACATGCAACTGTATATCAAAATTGTGGATGTTCAATACAGGTAGAGGGGTCTATTCAAATTCAATATATTCATTGCGACTGCACAATGAAAATTCTAAAATAACAATTGAGAGCAATAGTAAAACAAAACCCATCCTAACTTGGAGGTTACGCCCAAGTTTGAACCTGTGCACCCCTTCACGCATTCGTATCGTTATGCTTAACTACGGCAGACTAACTAAACAGGATCGTCTAGTAGCGGATTTTAATCTATTTTATACAAGATTTAAACAAGAACCTACCACAGCTGTGACATCGTCTTCACATGTCTGCAGCACTCGATGAGGTAAACCAAGTCTTCCTCGTATGTGCACTTCACTCCATGCAGCCAAAGCACCTGCAGGTTCTTGGTTTGTTCTCTGATTAGAAGACCCAGTCCTCTCATCGTCTCTCTCGAAACACTCTTCTTCTCTGATGGGAGTGATGATGGTGCATAAAGGTTGATGTGTGTGAGCTGCTGTCCTCCGGTCCGACGAAGACAAGCCGTGATCTGAGGTATGTCTCTCTCTGCATCATCGATAGTGATACCGATACGTCTTAAGCCAGGAAGCGATGAGAGCAGACCTTCATAGCTGTGTGACGTCACGCTCACGGTTAATAGCTTTGTGACGGATGGAAGGTCAGGAGGAGATGGAGGGAAACTGAGAGAGGAGTCTGAGATGGTGAGAGAGTTCAGTGAGGTGAAGGATCTGAGACAGGACCACAACTTCTCGGTCATCTTAGTAGATAGCTGGCATTGCTCTATCTCAAGCCTAGTATTCTGCAATAAATATAAACAGACAAACTTGTCACTTTCATTTACATCGAATTAAATATTGAGAATAAACGTGTGGACATACAGAATCCCATGTCAGTAATGCTGAAATTACAAATAGTACTTTCATATTCCGAGAATTAATTGAGTTCTTTCCAAAACAAAAAATGCAACTGTTTTGCAATTCCCTTTAATAGTAAAGTTCAGAGGATATCCATCTGTTGAATATTTCAAATGGAAATGCATGCACCTGTATAGCAAAAGTCACTCACCTGGACGTTGTTCTTTTTTTCTAGAGTACCACCTCCACTCCTACAAAGAATATTTGAAAGGGAATGAGGGAAAGAATGTGATTCTTGAAAGCAAATCTTGGGAAATGATATTACATTAATAAAGAAGGCAAGTGAATTATGCATCCCCTCTTTACAGAGGTAAATGACAGCAACAATATTAACAATAACAATAATGATAATAACCATATTATAATAATGGTATTCATAATAACAAATATAATCATGATAATGATATCAAAAATAATGAGAAAATCCTTAAAACAATATTTTAATACATTATTTGTTGTTCATGCCGACTTAAAATTAAAAAGCGACATGAACACAAAAATCTGCAGTGAAAAAAAAAAAGGTCGCAGAGTTTTTTGAAAATATTAGAAAATGTGATATTTGATTCATTATTTCCCTTATTTTACACAATTTTTTTAAAATCAATTATTAGCGAATGGACGGCAAAGTTTTTAACTACAAATTGGTGCTATTACAAACAATTTTCGTCAAAGGATTCCGGAGATATCGCGATCTAAAATTCGATGTCGGATTGGAGTACGTGCGCGCTGCAACTCACAAAAAAGTCATAAAAACAACGAGACTTTAATACTTCGTGCACGAAGGTTTACATCTGTTTTATCGAAAAATTCAATCATTCAAATGTAAGATAATTGGACATTTTGCAAGGAAAAATATCATACAATCAGTTACCACCAGGGGCGGCAATGTTAAGGGGGAGGGGATTCCCCCCCCCCCCCGCACCGGAAAATTTGAAAAAGTGCACACCCAAAATGTATAGCAAATGCTGACTACAGACTGCAACACTTTTTCTTTGTTAGGCTCTGGAGGGCCCAAGAGTGCATTGTTTGGACTAGGCTTAGACGTCTAGGCCTAATAAAAATGCAAAATTCTTCTCGCTCGGTCGCTAGCTACAATCCCTCGCATAATGTCCTTCAAAATGTACAAGTAAATATTGCGGAAAATTTGTTTTTCGTTGGTATCACTTAAGCACAGTTCACATTTCACACTGTAAGTTTACAAGATTAAGAGTTATAGATCGACCTAGAAATAGATCAGTGCTAACAAAATTAGACTAATATTCCGCTCGCTCTTTTTTTTTTTAGGAGTCCCTTCCAGCCTGGTTATACAAACATTGTAGCCTGTTTTCTAAAGGGAAATGGTGTACATCTTTCTAAAAAAATAGTATTTAAGTCAAACTCAAGGTCCTTCGTTACATCACTAGGGTCTAGACCTAGTTCTAGACTGGTCTAGGCCTAGATCTAATTAAAGTTTACTAAAATTTACCTGGACCTACTCAGGCGCGTACACAGGGGGGGGGGGGGGGATTAACCCCCCCCCCCTTTGGTATTTTTATGTGTGTAAACCCCCCCTACCCCCCCCCTTTGATTTTTTTTTTTTTTACCATGACTCACCTAAAAAAGCTGACCTTACCCCCCCCCCCCCCAACGGAGCAAAATGTCAAATTTTCAAATTTCGAGACCAAAAAAAAAAAAAAAAAGTGTCCTATTACCCCCCCCCCCCCCCTGAACAAATCCTGCGTACGCACCTGGGCCTACTAGCCTAGACCTCTAGTCCAGAAGTCTAAATATTTACAACACTTCGCCTCGGAATGCACACTAATTACCGGCAATGTAGGCCTAAAGGGGAAGTGTGAAAAAAGTATATTGCTTGTTTGTATACTACAATACTGTAATGTTTTAATACAACAAAACTTCAAAAACATGTAAGGGGATAGGACCTAGCCTAGTCACTTCCGTCACCTTCACCCCTCACGTTCACTGGATCTAGGGTCTATGCTCCATGAGGCTCGCACTTTGTCGCCCCGGTCATGAAAATAATTCGCCGCCCCTGGTTGGTTCTAGATCTACTTTTTATTTACAATTTTGATGACATTTGCTCTTAAAATAAAGATTTAGAGTGTACAGACCCTTGTCGGCAAGTTCATATTTTTTCAGAACGGACGCAAAAAGACTGCAAAATTTGCCGATCTTTTGTCAATATTTTACTAATTTCACCTCCAAATCCATAGAAAATGTCTTCTCTCCGTAATTTTAGGTTTCTTTCCATTCAACAAAAGTTAGATCTAAGTTAGACCTAGGTCTATAGTGATATCAAATTTTCGAAATCTTACTGATTTCTTGAGATAGCGAACTAGATCTAACTTAGACTAGACTTCTAAGTAAGGTCACGCGCGAACCATGGTCACACCACCATACATGAATAAAGATTTAGACCTAGATCTAGATCTAGGTCTACATACCCCGAGTTCAAATACGTTAGTTGTTTAGTCTTGACAAACAGGTCCACCAAGGCTTCTTCGTCTCTGCCCCTCACCCCGGACACATTCAGCCGCTGTGGTTTATTGGTTTGGTCTTCAAATAGAAGACTAATCCCTCCAATTGTCTCTCCTGATTCAATTTTCCTGTCTGTGGTGAGTGATGTCAAGGCGTGTAGTCTGATATGAACAAAGAACTGTTCATCCATAGCCCTGGTCTGATTCTTTGGCCTGGAGGCGGTGGTGATCTGAAAAGTGTTGCTCGTCTCTGCAGCATCGATAGAGACATCGATATCTCTCACTCCAGGTATCGATGGCAGCACTCCTTCGTAGCATTGTGACGTCATTCTTTCGGCTGATAGATGTGTGAAGGATGGAAGCTCCGGAGGAGATGGGGGGAAACTGATAGAGGAGTCTGAGATGGTGAGGGTATTTAGCATGGAAAATGATCCAAGACAAGACCATAGTCCATTTGTCACGTCGTTAATTAGAGTAGCTCCCTCGAAATGAACTGTCCTAACCTGTCGTTTAGAAAGAGAGAGAGAGAATTACAGAATAATTAGATGAAGGATATAACATTAATAGTTGATAACTTGGTTTGTGTGTTAAACATTTGGTCAATCCAGACTTTGGCATGATCTAATCCGAGCATATTTGGTAAGTATTGGAAGCTCCCTCCGCGCCTTTTTTTTTCATTCATAATAAGTCAAAATAATATATTAAACAAATTATGAAATTATTATTGTAAACATATTTTATGAAATGAAAATGTACATACCTTACGTTTTAGTTGCGTTGGAAGATTTGTCATCCCAACGACGGTGTAGACAGTCGGTGACTTAAGAACAATACTCTGTGCAGTTACACATCTTTGAACCAACGAAGACACATTTCCTTCAGTACCCCTGGTCTCTGATGAGCAGTCAAGGAGAATGCGATATCGCTCGCTCTCATCCAAAAAGCGGTTGGAAAGAAGCGCCTCCATTATCCGTATGCAATGGCTGTAATCTGTGCCAGCAGCGAATCGGATGAGATTCTCATAGTCACCTATGTTTGCTTTGATTTTTTGCAGCAGTCTGTCCAACTTAGAAATCTTCAGTCGTAACATATATTTCTTTGTTTTAGCAGCGAGGTATTTCCCAGCCGAGTGTTCCTGGGCGAGTTTGTGATAAAACTCAACGGTATTGAAAGTTGTGTCGTTGGGCTGAGGAAGGCCGGTTATTAAAACATTCGTCTTGGATACTATCCCAAGCTCACATGCCCTATCCAGGATTGCAGGAATTTTACGGAAATCATGAGGCTTGAAGACTAGTTTTTTAGCATCGTCGAGCAGACCAGTTAGTGCAACTTGGCCTACTTGATCAATTATTTTCCTTAACTCATCGGTTGTGATTTTTACTTTTGACTTTGATCGGGCGTTCGCATGGTGCGTTAAAAAAAAATTCACGCTGTCCAGTAATTTTGTCTGAGTTGTAGTACGCCTGTCCAGTAGGCTCTCACTCCATAAGTGACAAACCATGAGACAAAATAAAGGTGTTTTAACAAGTTCATTAATCAGTGGTTGGTCATCAAGGTAAACCTTTAGACCATGTCTATGTCCTGGACAAGGATTCGAAGTCGAAGCAAAGAACTTGTCGATGTACTCTCGTGAGCTCTCTTGCGAGAATCCTTCGATCCACATCTTTGTGTATACTCTTGGAAGTTCCGCTTGATTGAAGAAGTTCTCTAGATGAGGGCGCGTTGTTACAAGGACTCTACACTCTGGAAATTCCTCCCAGCGGATGACACTGACAATGTTGCTCCCTAAGCTCCGGTTTGAAGAAGAAATACCGGCATACTCATCTAGTCCGTCTAGTATGATGTGACAGATTCCCTGATTCTCTCTAATGAAACTCTCCAGACCCTCTGGTGTGAGATCATTAACATCACTCAAAAGCTGGGATTTGATGGCTTCTCCGATCGTTGTAAGCTGCGTTGTGTTTCGGAATTTCACAACAAACAGAAGTGGCAGGTTTTCTAATGCTGAACCACTTTCTCTGTGAACCCAGTCGTAAGCCATCTTAGCGACAGCCGTGGTCTTCCCTCGTCCAGCCGGGGCCGAAATGAGGATTCGAGCTGGTAGTTCGCCATTTACTTTCGCTGAAAATATTTCAGCAACAGAACCCTGGAGTATTTCCTTCTTTTTCGTGTCTTTTCCACGACCGTCCTTCTTTACCATTGTGACAACCGTGTGCATATCTTCGAAATTCGCATAATCACTTTGATTCCACGGTGTCATTTGAATTTTGCACAATTGTTTTCGGTACTTATTCTCCAACATTTCTCGACATCGCTGAACAGTCAATGATTCCGAGATCTTCTTTCCGTAGATATCTGGAAAGATACAATCATACATAACACCGAATATCTCGTTATACTCCCATAATCTATGAACCCTTCGCAAGGAATTTGGGATCATTTTTGTTTAAATTCTCGTTCAATTTCCGATTTGCCTCTTTCCCATGAAGCAAAGTCCTTGAAACGCACTTAACGCTGTTGTTATCTTTGATTAGACTGTAGGCTATACAAAATATGAAGTACTTTCATGTGGATAGGACATTTTTTAGTTTGTTTTATTTTTCGATAGTACTGAGCGTTATTTTATTAAATTGTATAGTATAGTTTGCAGGTTGTAGAAAAGGGATCTTACAACACTTGAAATAATATCCAAACATGCAGAAAGAATCACTGGCGCAAAACAGAACTCAATGGGGGAGGGGGAAGGGGGAGGGGGGAGGGGGGAGGGGGCGTATCAAGAGAATCGTCCAAAAAGCCAAATAAATCATGAAAATGGCAATTATCCTTTATTTTCTTGTTATGAATTTTTCAGATCATGAAGAAGATTGAAGGACACAGCGATTTACAAACACATTTGTTCCGTATTCAATTAGGGCATATAACCAAATATAATGCGTTTTGTTATCCAACGTTTCTGTTTCTTTCTTTAATAATATGTTTCGTTAGGAATTCAGTAAAATGAATACTTATAGTGAAAGTAATTATTACGATGTGGTACACAGATATCATTTGCCCGTATAATTCAGTATGTATATCTGCAATTTATCAGATTCATTCCGATATACTAATTCAGCTTAATTTTGTAATCAAGTGTGTTTAGTGGTAAATAACTTTTATTTATAAATATGCATGGATTAGTTAACTATACGCAACTTGCGGAAAAGAAACAAGCCATAGCTAAACGAGAATAAACATTACGTATGATTATTATTTGTCATCGCCAAAATGTATCCATGTGTAGTATCATATTTCTATTCTTTGTAAACTTTATCTGAGCCTTAATTTTACATCTGAGCGAGAAAAAATATCTATGTTAACCGAAATAACCGTACATTGGACAAATAAATACATTGAACAATGAACATTTTTTTTACTAGCGATTTTGCCGGGATTTCGCAGTCACCCGCATTTTCGGTCAAAACGGGCCACACAAATATCGGACTCATACTTCACTGTCATTATGACTAAAAATGAGAAAATGTAGTTTTGCCTAAATCTCTCATGGCGTAAATTTATGAAAAGTGTTGGTCTTCGGTATTTTCAAATATATGATCCTGTTACGGATATTCCTAAACATTACCTACAATAGCGTAGAAACTCTTTGGTAGGAGTCTGCCAGAAATCGGACAAGTTGAACTTTCGCAAGCTTAAAGGTAAAGACCAGTAATGGTCATGCGATTGCATTGTGAAAGAAACGTTGTGGAATCTATCAGAAAAGGTTGATCATCTAGCATCTAGCATGTGCAAGGTTCTGGAATCATCAAAATGATAAGAAATTTGGCCCATTCTTTGTAAAGTTACAAGCACTATACACAGAAAGATGTATACGGGACTACTCTATATCTCTCACACGACCATAAGAGAAACAAATTTACCAAATATATGAATTAGTAGGCGGTTTCCCGGCAATTTTTTTTACCATTATGTATTAGTCAAAACATATTCTTTCACATGATTGGTAATGAGAGCTTCCATTTCATTTTTTGAAATTGGGGCGTTACCAATACTGGTCTTTACCTTTAAATCACAATTGTATGCCCTATATGTCAAATCGGCAATTTTTACATTCGAATTGGGCATTAAAATATCGTTAATATTCCTTTCTCTTCTAAATAACCTGGGGCTATGCCTAAGATATCGTCTGGTTGGCATATTGTTGTATAAGCCCCCCCCCCCCCTCCACCCCCCACCACCTTTTCAAGGAAAAAAATCGCTGATTTAATGCAATCATACCTGAGGTACTTTCCAGTGAAGTCGCCTTTTGTTCACGTGGGTCCTGCTCCTTTGGGAGATATTCACCTACAGGAAATGTATACATAGTCATTCATAATGTTATTTATGCATCCATGGCTCGAGAGATTCGAGCATCAAAACATATTTTATATTCAGTTACGAATAATGTTTTAATTTCAGAAATCAAACAATACACCTGAATACAGCAAGAGTGCTAGACTGATCAAATTTACTTTGAATATCATAATCAATCATACAATATAGATAGACTATAGTTCATTCAGTTGCATTTAAGTAACTATTTACCTTTAGACAATATTTTCCCCAATCCACCAAGCTCCACATCATGAAGCTTCCTTGCCAGGATCGATCGTGATTGGCTTGTATCTGCTTGTTTAGTATTCCACTTGATCATGATACCCTTCATAGCCTCATTGTAATCTTTTAGATGAGTTGAGAGAATTGATTGATTCCGATTATGGGAGTACCCCAGGGCGATGCACAGTTCTGAGTATTTAGTATGAGGTATATCTCTGGAAAGATGAATCATCTCGACTTCCTGTAAATATGGTAAAGGCTCCATTGTTCTGCAAAGGGAATAAACAAAATGCATTGGGTCATCATGGTGACTAAATCGAATCAAGGAGTTGTTAAAGGCGATCAAACAAAACTACTAATTATCAAATAGTCATAACTATTTCAAGAAAGTTAGATACTTCACAGGGTTTAGATAAACTACATGAATAGTTTTCCTAAACTAGTTATCCAAAGGTAACTCGAGATTCTTAGGAATAGATTTGTCGGTTGACTTGACTAGACATGGTCGATCATAAATACTATGACAAAAGACATAAAACGCCAAATGTTGTCATGGTGTAAAGAGTGTCAACTGTTCCAGGGAGAATGACTGCAGTTAAAAATGTGTTGGTACCAAAACTTAATTATTTATTTTTTTCACTTCTAGAACCAAACTCGCAAATTATGAAAGACATAAATCTTTATCATTATGCATTTGTATGGGGTAGCAAATCTGACAAAATCTGTAGAGAACAAACGTTTCAACTCTACAATAAAGGCCGGGTTTAAACGATTTAATAGACAAAAATCATGCATAATCTTTAAGATATAATGGATTAGAATATTTAACTGATTCCCAGGTGCAAAGTTACATGTGGCACAAGTTTCATTCATTCTTTTGCCAGACTTATTCTTGTCACTTGTACATTGGTTTTGTTTACCTAAAAGATTTGACAAACTTGACGCCTGTTTGGAAAGAGATTATCTTAGCTTGGCCTCTCTTGGTTGAACTTTGTATTGATGACATCGCATGTCAACCTCTCTGGAATAACTCCCGATTCAAAACGAGCGATAAAGTAGTATATTTGAGGTCTTGGACAGCGGGGCGGAATAGCACAACAAAATGGACACTTCTGGAAAAAGAAGAAGGGGAGCACTTGCATTGCGACTGATTAGATCTAATTATTTAGATGATCGCCAATAGTAATATTATACTATGAATGCAAGCGAGCGAAGCAGGCGAGTTTGGGGGAAATTTGAGTAAATGTTGCTTTCAGTCGCTTTAGATTAGAGGCACACGTGAAGGAGGCTACGAATTATCCATTGTTTCTGTGTGAGATGAGGGGTTATGAAGGGTTATAAAAAACATCTTTTCATAGCATGTATATATTCTGCACACTTTGTAAGTAGCAATGTGATACATAGGTCAAAACGGGTACTTATCAAAAGGCAGTCATAAAGAAAGGAAAAGAAACAATTTTTTAAAGAAAAAAAGAAAAGGTATTCATTTGAATCGGCACTTATTATAAATGATTTTTGTTCTCCATTTTCATAAGGAAAAGTGGCAATTATTAAAAAAGAAAATGTACACATGTCAAAGTAAAAGGGGTAGTTATCTAATATAAAAAGGGACATTTATCAGAGGTGAAAAGGGGCATTTTAATATATGAAAGGGAAAGGGGCACTTAATACTAGGGAAAAGGCCACTTATTTTTAGGGTTGTCAGAGAATTTTGTAACCAACTTGTACTCGAAACCCCTGATAACCCTTTTTTCTTTTCCTGGTCACGTAGGATATACGGAATGTTGTGCCATTAGTATATATAACGATATTCACTTTGCTTGTTGTATACAAAGGCTCAGTATCAATCGTGATTTGGATTCATGTTATGAATATAAGAAAAGACTTAGCAGAATTTTTATCGTGTTAATGAAAAGATCGTATTAGTAGCAGAATAAATATTTCAGCTGCTGATACTGTCAAAACTAAAATCGATGTATAGAGGTCGATCAGATGAAATGAGACAAACGAAACAAATGTTAAATATATATTGTATATGTGAATAAATTAGCTGAGATAACAATGAAATTACCACGTATTTCAAAACTGTAGTCGGCAATTACAATTTCGCTTTTCATCATGACAAATATTAAATACAAAAATAATGAATAGAATAAAGTATATGTTTTTGCGAACGTTTTCCATATGTTTTCCTCCCCATGTTGGTTCTTTGTAAACTTTACGTCTAAACACAAACTCTTGACGACTTATCAAAGTATTGTCCGGCACCAGACTATGGGGGGAATTTGATTGTAGGAAAAGTCAAAAAATATAGTCGTAAAAATATCCGGACCACAGAGAACATGAATGTGTCCAGATAACATGTAATAAAGGGGAAAAGGAAAGCAAGGAAGAAGAAGAAGGGGAAGGGGAAGAAAAAAGAGCGAGTATGGGCCGATGTTCAAATTCAGCTTTCTTTAAAAAAAATGAAACCCGATTCTGATGATCGTTTTAATATCTACCATGTGATTGCCATGTTATGTAACATAAAATAGTACCACAGTTTCGTTTATTGTAATAAAAATATTCAAAATCAAGAAGAAGGAGAAGAATATTTGTTTCTATCTCTCTCTCTCTCTCTCTCTGATAAATCCCTCGAACGGTAGAATTCACCGCGAAGAATCAATGGTAAAACTAATTATTTTGAGTCCCGGCTGAAAAAGTAAAGTGCCACGTCATAGTTTTATTAAAGAGTAGCAATGGCAAACGATGATAT